GGGTGCTAGCTTTTTCTCCCTAATTATTTTTCTTTTAAGTGGAGCTACCTTATCTAGTGAGTTGCAGAACGTTGATTCTAAGCATTCAGTTGCCTGGTCAAGTTCTTTGGGATCAGACGGTGATCCAATCATGGTTGATAAATCTGGGAGATTACTGATAAAACTCTGTGCAGTTGTTGACGTGAACGTACGTTTGACACGGTGACGTGGCAAGGTGCATATATTATGATTAAGCCACATTTTAAATGAGATGAGGTAATGATCTGAGATAGCTTCAGACTGTGGACATGAGACTATATTTTCTATATTTAATCCAAATGTTAGTATTAAATCAAGAGTGTGACCACCACTATGAGTGGGTCCTATTACATTCTGATTAACCCCTACCAAATCTAGAATGGACACAACTGCTGTTCTCAGAGGGTCTTCTGGATTATCAAAATGAATATTAAAGTCTCCAACAATTAGTGCTTTGTCTAAAGAAATAACCAGGTTAGAGATGAAATCCGCAAATTCGCATAGGAATTCCGAATATGGCCCTGGGGGTCTGTAAATAATAATTAGTGGAATCACCTGGGTAGACTTATTTTTAGTGGCTACAAATGTTATGTTAGAATAAAGAACTTCAAATGCGTTGAATTTATGACTAGGTTTTTGTGTGATGTCTAGATTATCATTATAGATGACTGCGACGCCTCCTCCTTTGCCACTTAGACGGGGCTGATGTATGTAACTGTACCCGGGAGGACTAGCTTCATTTAATGCTACAAACTCGTTTGGTTTAATCCATGTTTCTGTTAAACACAGTACATCAAACTCCTAATCAGTAATGGTTTCATTAACAATAAATGCTTTAGACCTAAGAGATCTAATATTCAACAGTCCTAGCTTCAGATCAACGATCAATTCGAATGGACCCAAAAAAGGTGCGTGCAGTCATGGATTGGCCTCCCCTCTCGTCAGTAAAAGAGGTCCAACGCTTCCTCGGGTTTGCCTATTTCTATCGCAAGTTTATCCGGAACTTCAGCTCCGTTGCAGCCCCATTATCGGCACTCACCAAGGGCACCTCCACCAGCTTCCGCTGGAGCCAGGACGCTGAGTCGGCCTTCTGCGAACTCAAGACCCGCTTCTCCTCGGCTCCTATTCTGGAGATTCCCATTGTCGTTGAGGTGGATGCCTCTGAAGTAGGAGTCGGAGCGGTGCTGTCTCAAAGGAGTAAGGACAGCAAGCTGCACCCCTGCGCCTTCTTTTCCCAGAAACGTCGGAGCTGATCATCACCCATGTTTTCCGCACCTTTGGCATACCACAGGACATTGTCTCTGATCTGGACCCCAATTCTCCTCGCGATTCTGGCGGGCCTTCTGTGAGTCTCTGGGAGCCTCTGTGAGCCTAACGTCCGGGTTCCATCCCGAGTCCAACAGTCAGACGGAGAGAATCAACCAGGATCTTGAGACCACCCTGAGGTGTATGGCTGCCAACAACCCGTCCTCCTGGTCCACCTTCATCATGTGGGTGGAATACGCTCACAACACTCTCCGCTCCTCAGCCACAGGCATGTCCCCGTTTGAGTGCCAGTTTGGGTATGCTCCTCCACTGTTCCCAGAGCAAGAAGTGGAGACGGATCTTCCCTCCGCTCGACAGTTCGTCAAGCGCTGCCGTCAAACCTGAAAGGCCAGACTAAAGCTCCTGAGAACTTCGCAGCAGTATCAACAGCAGGCGAACCGACAACGAAGACCGGCCCCTACTCTGCGCCCCGGTCAATGAGTCTGGCTCTCCACCAAGAACCTTCCCTTGCGGGTGGAGTCCCGCAAGTTGTCCCAAAGGTTCATCGGACACATTCCATGTGTCTTTGTTAAAACCTGTTTTGTCCTCTCCCTTCTCTGTGCCAGGTAAACCGCTCCCTCTGCGCATCATCGACGGCCAGCCTGCCTACACAGTCCACCGAATCCTGGACGTCCGGCAAGTACGGGGCTCCCGGCAATATCTTGTGGACTGGGAAGGCTATGGCCCTGAGGAACGCTCCTGGGTCCCAGCCTGTGACATCCTGGACTTTCATGCGCACCGGCCCGAGTCTTTGGGGGGGCGGGGGTCCTGTCAGAGTTTGGTTCCTTTCTTCTGTGTTTTTTGTTGTGTAATTTTTTTTTCCCCAGCCTTAGTTCTTCCTTGTTGTAATTGGTTTCATTGCTTTCACCTGTGTCTCGTTCCCGTTTTGTGTATTTAAGACGTCCCTTTTGTTCCCCCGCTTGGTTATTGTTGTTCCCTAAGCTCCTGTTTTCTTTCTGGTTGCTTCTCTCGAATTAATATCTTCTGTGTTTTTTCTAGTACCCTTGCCTTGCTTTTTGTCTTTTGTTCCCTTTTTCTCTCTTTAGTTTTTGGCTGTTTTCAATTCCCCTGTCTCGTCTCCGTTTTTGAGATCCTTTGCCTTCTTGTTTTCCCCATTTTTTGCCCTTGTGTCATTTTCTTGATTTTTTAAAATAAAATTCTTGTGCACCACCTCAGCGTTTGCATCGTGGGTTTACTGCCTCCTTGTGGTTCAATGGTAAAACGTCCGTTTCTCACGCTGGAGACCCGGGTTCGATCCCCAGTCCTGATATGAATAAGATATTTCACATAAAAGATCTTTACATATAGTCCACAAGAGAAAATAATAGTTGAATCTATAAAAATGACACTGTTCAAAAGTTTACATCCACTTGATTCTTAATACTGTGCTGTTACCTGAATGATCCACAGCTGTTTTTTTTTTTTTTTTTTTAAATAATATTATATATATATATATAATATTATATATAAACTGCAATCTATAGGGCCCAAACAACCTTTGGAAATATCTCCGGTGCCCAGGTCTTGCCAAATTGCATACTGGACCACAAAAGTTATGTTCTGCTGGGACCACTTGTTTATAGTGCTTGGATTGTGCAGATTGATGCAACTATATTTTAAGGTGGCTAAGCATGCAAAAGCATTAGTTAATGCATTCACACAAAGCTTGAAAGTCATGTTCAGCACAAGGTTCTACGTATGTCTGCAAAGTTTGGGGGCATAGGTACCCAAAATGGCAAAGTTTAATTCAAATAATTGGTTCTCAAGAAAGTCCAATCAAAGTGAAATTTGGTATACTGCATATTTGTGCTAATCTGTAAGGGGATTATTATCGATTACTTTATTACTTTAGAAACATGGCCACCAGCCAATCAGATTTCAATGTACATTTGACAGAGTTAACACTGAGATATCATCATGAATCTTGTAAGTATGTATGTCCATCTAGGCATGCTGTAGTTCCTGGGTAGCATATGTTATTTCCTACTTGCTTATACCACAAAAGTATAGAAAATGGCTATTATTCCCCTCAAACTTTGCTTTTGTGACATTGGTATTTTGAAATGTACCTATTTGAGCAAATGGGCGAATTTGCGTCTTCTTGTTAAAGTCCGAAACACATAAAGTCTGGGAAAAAAACAGATAAATTTCAAAGTATGTTTCTTATAAAATATATTATAATATATTTCTTATATATTAAAATATATTTCTTAGAAAATACATATTTTCAGACCTCAAAGAGGATTACAACAGCGTCAAGACATTGCTGGACGCCTTGAAGTAGCCTTGAGGTAATCGAAGACTTTAAAATGGTGGCATTCCTGATGGATCTCCAAGGAGCTTTTACCAAGTTTCTCTGCTATCTTTGTCTTTGGGACAGCAGGGACACCAAGGCACGCTACAAAAGGCTGGACTGGCCACAGCAGACCAAGTTCACTGTGGGGTGGAACAGTATCAGGTGGGAGCCATAGGTGGACCACTGGAAGGTGCTGATGCCATCACTGCACATCAAATTGGGCCCTATGAAACAATTTTCACAGCTCCAGGTAAGGAGTTGGTTGCCTTCAAGTACCTTCAAGACTTCTTGTCAGAAAGCCGGAGTCAGACCCAAATGCAGAACGCGGACAGAGATTCAACTTTAAGAGTCTTTAATGAGCACAATGGTTTACACTCAGGCAATGACAGCAGAGTTGATGCAAAGGATGAAGCAACAGGCAGATAAACAATAGCAGGTTCACAGTCTTTACTCACAAACAGGGAACTCAATATCCAATGAGCAGGCTTGGACAGGCTTGAGCTTGGACACATGGAATGTGGGATGGATGTGCAATGCTCTGGGTAGCTTAAGGCGCATGGCCACGGGGTTGAGCACCTTGGAGATGGGGAATGGTCCCACAAAGCGAGGAGTCAGTTTCCTGCAGGCCATCTTGAGAGGCAGGTTCCTGGTGGATAGCCACACTCTTTGGCCGGCGCAGTAGGGCAGGGCCCTGCGATGCTTGCAGTTGGCCCACTTGGCGTAGCTCCTGGAACTCCTCAGCAACGTGAGGCGGGCTCTTCTCCAGGTGCGCCGGCATCACTTGACGAAAGCCAGGGGCAGGGGTACAGACGCCTCCAGCTCTTGCATGGTGAAGAGTGAGGGCTAGTACCTGTAGGCAGCTTGGAATGGTGAGATGACCGTGGCAGCTGATGGGAGTGAGTTGTGGGCCTATTCTACCCAGACCAAGTTTGCAGACCAGGATGATGGGTCCTCGGAGCACAGAATACGCAGCCCCGTCTCAAGCTTCTGGTTGAGGCGTTCTGTTTGGCCATTGGTCTGTGGGTGAAAACCAGATGAGAGGCTGACGGTGATTCCTAGGAGCTGGCAGAGTTCTTTCCAGAAGAGAGATGTGAACTGGGGCCCCCGGTCAGACACAATGTTGCATGGCAGGCTGTGGAGGAGAAAGACGTGTTGGACCATGAGCTGGGCTGTTTCCTTGATTGAGGGCAACTTGGGCCATCTTGGAAAATTGGTCCATTATGGTGAGTATGGTGGTGTTTCCCACGGAGCAAGGGAGTCCCGTGACAAAGTCCATAGACAGGTGTGACCAGGGTCTCTTGGGTGCAGGCAGGGGTCGGAGGAGTCCTGCTGGAGGGGCCTTGGACTTCTTCTGCTGAGCACAGACAGGGCAGTGACGGCGGCCTGCTGCATCTTCCTCTCAATGTCTGGAGCGTTGGGTCAGGCAGGGTTAGGATAGGGGCTGTCGTGAAGAAGTCCTTGAGTCTGAGGAAGGATTGCTCCACCTCTGGCAACTCTGGTGAACTTACAGAGGGATGAGGTGAGCTGGTGAAGGGGCACGGCAACTGTACTGTACCCCCGATGAACTTCCGGTAGAAGTTTGTGAAGCCCAAGAACTGCTGGAGTTGTTTCTGGGTCTCAGGGCATGGCCACTCCTTGACTGCTTTTATGTGGTCAGGGTCCATCTGTACGCAACTGGCCAAGAATATGAACCCCAAGAAGGTGGTGGTGGTGGTGACATAGAATTCACACTTCTCGGCTTTCATGTACAGGTGGTTCTGTAGGAGGTGCTGGAGGACGGTTGAATGCTGTCTTCCATTCATCCCCTTCGCGGATGCGGACCAGGTGATAGGCATTCCTCAGGTCTAGCTTGATGAAGATGGTGGCTCCCTGGAGTAGCTAGAAAGCAGAAGACATGGATGGAAGACATGCAAGGATGGAGAGACTTGTCCTTTTTCCACGAAGAAAAATCCTGCTCCCACGGGGGAAGAAGACAGGTGGATAATGCCTGCGGCAAGGGACTTCACAGGCCATCGCCTCCTTCTCGGGTCCAGTGAGATGGTACAGGCATCCACGTGAGGGCATGGTTCCAGGTAGGAGGTCAATGACACAGTCGTAGGGTCAACGCGGGGGCAGCGACAAAGCCTTGGCCTTGCTGAACACTTGTTTGAGGTCGTGGTAAACCAGCGGCATGGAACTGAGGTTAGGGGATGGTTCCTCCTTCACTGGGGCCCTAGCAGGGAGGGTTGTGCTGAGACAACTCGTGTGGCAGTACATTCCCCGGTCCAGGATTCTGTCGCTTGTCCAGTCCACCTGGGGATTGTGCCTGCTCAACCATGTGAATCCAAAGATGATTGGCGCTTGTGGTGATGGGATAAAGAAGAAAGAGAGCCACTCCTGGTGGTTACCAGCAAGAGTTTAGTCCTGCGTTGGGCTCGGTGCAGGATGTGGCCATCCAAGGCCCTTACCAGGAGAGCTGAAGGAAGGGGCTCCGTCTCAATGCCTAACTGCTCTGCTAGCTCTTCATCCATGAATTCAGAGCCGGTGCTGGAATCAATAAATACAGCTAGGTGGTGGTCCTGGCTGCCCACCTTAATCCGAGCCTTTAACAGCAGCTTTGAGGGGACCAAAACAGGTTTGCCCTCCACTGACTCCTCCTCCAATGACGAGCCTTCCCTTTTGCTGGACAGGTCCGCACCATGTGCTCTGAGCCACAGCAGTAGAGGCACAAGCCAGATGAGCGACGGCTCTCCTTCTTGGTGACAGATAGCTTGTGTCGACCAATCTGCATGGGTTCTGGTGCTTCCGGTGGGAACGTGCAGCTAGGAGGTGTTTGAGTGGCTCTCTGGCTTCTGGATCGCCAGGTCGGCTTCACTGATCTCTCATGGCGAATCTCTCGGATACAACAATCGACATGGGAGGCCAGGTGGATCAGACCTTCGAGATGGTCAGGTAATTCACAGGCGGGGAGCTTGTCCTTGATATCTGCTGCAAGGCCCCTGTAGAAGGCATTGTAGAGCACTGCTGGATTCCACTAGCTGGATACAATAAACGATAATGCAGGGCAGAAACTGAAATACTGAAGACAGGCAGGGTCAAAACTGGGAAGACTAATACGGGAAACAGGGAAACAATAGCTACTCAGGCACGCGAGGTAAACTGAGGATAATCTGGTGATGAACACATGCTGGTTAAGGCCTTATATAGTGCTGAAGATACAAAATGACCACCGCAGGAAGTGCTCCTCCCAAAATGGCTGCCGACCTGGAATGCACGTTATGACATTTCTTTCCTAAGCTGTCTGAGGCAAAAGTCAATGCCGGTGTCTTTGTCAGACCGCAGATAACAGTGGTGGAGAACTTTGGCACAAAGTGCTGTCTCTCACAGTCCATATCCTTGATGCTCATCTTGATAAATTCAAGAAGAACATGGGAGAGTACTCAGGGGAGCAAGACAAGAGCTTTAACCAGGATATACTGGACTGAACGCTGCTACCAAGTACAATATAATGAGAACATGATGGGAGACTACATTTGGGGGCTGCTTTGTGAAAGTCATTTACAATATAATTGTAACCTCGAAAAATTACCCACTTCTAAAACATTTGTTTTCTTTTTTATATAACATTTTGATTCATAATTTTCATTCATATGTTTTTTCTGACTTTATGTGAATGACAAGATGCAAGTTCTCCATTATCTCAATGAAAATAAGTAAATTTCAAAATACCAATGTCCTGGTCACAAAGGCAAAGTTTGAGGGGATTAATAGACATTTTATCTACTTGGCATAAGCAATTAGAAAATAACACTTACTACCCAGGAACAAAAGTTGTGTAACATTAAAAAAATGTGTATTATAATACATACATACAAAATCATTCTGACACCATTTAAATGTATAGACAAATACACATACTGTAAAGTACATTGTTACACCATGCAGTCACATGCAGACACACGCACACTCTCCCCCTTTTATTCTATCCACTTTCT